ATATTTCATTGTTTTTTTTTTCATTTTTTCTTTTTGAGTTTGTTAACAGTATTTTGGCTCCTCTTTATGTCTTCTCTTTGTATTTTTTTTATTCTAACTAATTAATTTTTCCAAATATTTATTGTTTTTTTTGCTTTTTTTATATTGAGTTTGTTAACAGTATTCTGACTTCTCTCCGGTCTTTTCGTTCATATTCTTTTTTATTCTAATTAATTCTTCTTTCCAAATATTTCATTGTTTTTTTTTTCTTTTTTTCTTTTGAGTTTGTTAACAGTATTCTGCTTCTCTCCGGTCTTCTCTCTATTTTTTTGTATTCTAATTAATTCTTCTTTCCAAATATTTCCTTGTTTTTTTTTTCATTTTTCTTTTGAATTTGTTAACAGTATTCTGGTTTCTGTTCGGTCTTCTCTTGCGATTTTTTTGTATTCTAATTACTTCTTCTTTCCAAATATTTACTTGTTTTTTTAGTTTGTTAACAGTATTCTCTCGAGTCTTTGAGTTTTGAGTCTTCTCTTTGTATTTTTTTTTTGGTATTCTAATTAATTTTTCTTTTCAAATAATTCCTTGTCTTTTCTTTCTTTTTTTTTTCTTTTGAGTTTGTTAATAGTATTCTGGTTTCTCTCGATTCTTCTCTTTATATTTTTTGTATTCTAATTAATTCTTCTTTCCAAATATTTTCTTGTTTTTTTTTTCATTTTTTTTGAGTCTGTTTATTGTGGCTTCTCTTGGTACTACTCTGTGTATTTTTTTGTATTCTAATTAATTTTCTCTCCAAATATTTCCTTGTTTTTTTTTTCTTTTGAGTTTGTTAACAATATTTGGCTGCTCTCGGGTCTTCTTTTTATATTTTTTTTATATTCTAATTAATTTTCTTTCCAAATATTTTCTAGTTTTTTTTTTGAGTTTGTTAACAGTATTCTGGCTTATCTCGGGTTTCTTTTTATATTTTTTGTATTCTAATTAATTTCTTTCCAAATATTTCCTTGTTTTTTTTCTTTTGAATTTGTTAACCGTATTCGGGCTTCTCTCAGTCTTCTCTTTATATTTTTTTGTATTCTAATTAATTCTCCTTTCCAAATATTTCCTTGTTTTTTTTATTTTTTTAGTTTGTTAACAGTATTTTGGCTCCTCTTTGTGTCTTCTCTTTGTATTTTTTTTGTATTCTAATTAATTCTCCTTTCCAAATATTTCATTATTTTTTTTTTCTTTTTTTGGGTTTGTTAACAGTATTCTGGTTTTTTTCCGGTCTTATATTTACATTTTTTGTATTATAATTAATTCTTCTTTCCTTCTCTTTATATTTTTTTTTTGTATTCTAATTAGTTTTCTTTCCAAATATTTCCTTGTTTTTTTTTTTCATTTTTCTTTTTAGTTTGTTAAAAAAATCTTTTTTTCTTTTGGGTTTGTTAACAATATTGTGGTTTCTTTCGGGTCTTCTCTTTATATTTTTTGTATTCTAATTAATTCTTCTTTCCAAATATTTTCTTTTTTTTCTTTTTTTTCTTTTGAGTTTGTTAACAGTATTCTAGCTCGTCTTCTCTTTCTATTTTTTTTTTGTATTCTCACTAATTTTCTTTCCAAATATTTTCTTGTTTTTTTTTTCTTTTTTTCTTTTGAGTTTTTTAACAGTATTCTGGCTTCTCTCTAGTCTTCTCTTATATTTTTTTGTATTCTAATTAATTTTTTTTTCCAAATATTTCTTGTTTTTTTTTTTTTCATTTTTTCTTTTGAGTTTGTAACAGTATTCTGGCTCTTCTATCTTCCATTTGTATTTTTGTTGTATTCTAATTAATTTTTCTTTCCAAATCTTTCATTTATCTTCTCTATCTTCTTTTTTTTTTTTTTTTCTTCTTCCTTTAATTTCACAAATATCACATATAAATTTTCTTTCACAATCTTTCCGTTCTCTCCATCTTTCCTTTCTTCTTTCCCATTCTTCTCTTTTCCTCTCTCTTCTGTATTTACTTCCTATCTTCCCGTTTTTCTATTTGTTCTGTATTTTTTAATTTTGTTACAAATATTTGCCTCATTTATTCTTGTTATTTTCTATAACCTAACATCATAACGAAAAATCTAATAATGGGCAAGCAAACAAGAGTTCTAATTCTGAATAATTAGACAAAGGAAAAGGAATTTTGATTCTCACTGATTGCTTATAAGATAAATGAAAATGAGATCTGAAATATGACTTAGGGTCATAACAAAGTAAGATCTCTCTCTCCAACAATTACATCTACAGCTCTCCTTGTAAATGGNTGTTGGTATTTTTTTTTTTTTTTTTTTTTTTTTTTTTTTTTTTTTTTTTTTTTTTTTTGTTGTTGTTGTTGTTGTTGTAGGAACCACGGAATGCATCTTGTATTTTGGATTTGTGAGTTGGTTGAGGAGAGATTGTATTCTGGATTTTTTTTATCGGGTCGTTACAAGAACGATCATTATGTTTATCGTAATGCACCTATGGCGGTTGTTATTGGTGTCCGCCATCAACAACTACCAGAGAATGCTCGCCCGACCAGAAAGGGGCCCCGGAGGTATGCAAGCTGACTGGTGGGTCCATACTCGTATATGTAGACTGTGTGTAGGAAAGTACACATCTAAATTACCCATTTAAGATAGACTATTATGATAGGTTTCATTCATGAAATTATATGTGGTTGCACATTGAGAATTTCTTAAAATATTCTAGCAACATGCTACTCTCAGTTTCAGGTAAAGACAAAACTCCCCTATGTGGTTGATACCAACCATGACACATTTCATAATTTCAATTATTAGATTATATGATATGAACCACTTCAATGACGATGTGAAGAAAAAGTTGTCAAAATTATCAAAAGATGTTTCAATGCATGCCACATTGAAGAAGAGTGAAGTTTGATTGTTATAAATTTTGGGTGGGTTACAATTTAGAGTTTTTAGGACTTTTTATTTACTTTATGTTGCAATTACATAATGGTTAATTATGACCATTAAGTATGAATGTTACAATTCTTGGAATGCCTAGTAGTTTCATTTTGAGGCTAAATAAAGCCATGTATGTTGTATTTGTAAGAGACTTGGAAAATATAGTAAAAGAAGCATTTGTGCTTTTCTTTAACCAATAACTAGTTTCTTTGCAATTCTATGTAGTTTAGGTTGCATGTAGAATCACTCAAGCTCGACATGATCAATCTTGTTTGTGGAGTGATTCGAATCTCAAACAAGTGTTCTTGCCTTGAGATATTTGATCAACAAGAATCATTCAAGCTAGACGTGATCGATCTTGCTTGTGGAGTGATTCGAATCTCAAACAATGTTCTTGCCTTGAGATATTCGATCAACAAGGTAATCCGAATCTTACTTCCCTTGTAACGATTTCTTATCTTATCATTATATGTTAGTATAGGTGAGTTGCATTTTCATTTAGTAGAGCATATAGGGGTATTATAAGGTATTTTTACTTTATGTTATTTCTTGTTTATTTCAACTTGCATTATTGTATTTAAGGACCTTAGAAGTGAGAGGTAAGAATAAGGTCATATTTTTATTATAAAGTTTGAATTAAGTATTTCCCCTTATATAATAATTATAAACAAAATTTAGGGTCATGAAGTAAAAGAGTAATAAGCCCAGCCACAAAGGTGCCAATAAAAATAGGCCACACAGACTTTTATCCTTATCTTCTTTCTAAATGTATTTATTTGATAACGTGATTACAACCACCAAACAAAATACCTAAAGCTAATATGTAATTGAATTCCCTACAAAAGATGTTCACGCAAGCTAGCCTTATTGGATTGGAATTGGTTCTATTATAGCCTCATTAATTGATGTATAAAATTATGTCCAAAAAAAGATAAATTTACCAGAAATATTAAAATATATATTTTACACGAAAATTGAAATATTGAAAAATAATTATTCTTAAAAAGAAGTAAAATTTAATAGATTCAGTACGATCAATTACACAAAATAAGAAACGTCACCTCTTACACGGAAGGTATATAAATTATGTGACTTAAACATAAAAAATAAAAATTTAAGAGACAGGATCATGCTATGCTATATATGACTAGTGTGAGACCCCACATCAGTTGTAGTGGAGGACGAAACACCCTTTATAAGAGGTAGAAATCTCTCCCTAAAAAGGCATTATAAAAACTTTGAGGGAAAGATCGAAAGGGAAAGCCCAAAGAGGACACGTGAAAATCTCTCTCTAACAAGCTCGTTTTAAAAACTTGAGGGAAAGATCGAAAGGGAAAGCCCAAAGAGGACGTGTGGAAACCTCTCCCTAACAGACACATTTTAAAAACCGAGGGAAAGATCGAAAGGAAAAGTTCAAAGAGGACAATATCTGCTAGCGGTGGGCTTGGACCATTACAAATGGTATCAAAGTCAAACACCAGGCGATGTGCCAACGAGGAGGTTGTTCTCCGAAGGGGTAGGCACGAGGCAGTGTGCCAGTAAGGACGCTAGGCCCCGAGGGGGTGGTTTGGTAGGGTCCCATATCGATTGGAGAAAGGAAAAGTGTCAGCAAGGATGTTGGACCTCGAAGGGGGATGGTTTGGTAGAGGTCCCACATCGATTGGAGAAATGAACAAATGTCAGTGAGGACGTTGGACCCCAAAGGGGGTGGATTGTGAGATCCCACGTCGGTTGGGGTGGAGAACGAAACACCATTTATTATAAGGGTGTGGAAACTCTACCTAGTATGCGCATTTTAAAAATTTTGAGGGGAAGTCTGAAAGGGAAAGCAAACCTAAAGAGAAAAATATCTATTAGCGGTGGGCCTGAGCCATTACAACTAGTCTTGATAGCAAGCAAGCTCATGGGTAGACACGAATGGTTCCCGCGTGCATAAGCATACAACATATGCCTAATAGACCACAAAATTGAAAACTCAAAATTAATTCAACTTCAAATATGTCGATATTAAACTCGACTTAGTTGGAGAAAGTTGTAATTTCACGAATCAAATTTGTTTGCATGCACTTTCGTTTGGTTATAAATTAGCAAACACAAGTCCTCCATCCTTCCATAGCTAATAATTGAAGCTCAAAACTCAGAAATCTGTCTGTATTTAGATGGAGATATTGGGGAGTATTAGGGATTCCATTTGGGCGGTGGCTGTGGTGTGTTTAGCCGTATGGGGATGGAGATTTTTGAACTGGATTTGGCTGAGGCCCAAGAAGCTTGAGAGGTGCCTCAGAAAGCAAGGATTCGCCGGAAATCCTTACCGGCTTCTCACCGGCGACATGAAGGACATAGCCGCCATGAGGGAGCAGGCCATATCCAGCCCCATGAACTTCTCCCATGATATTGCTCCACGTGTCATCCCCTCCATAAATCATACCTTCCACAAATATGGTATGTCGTGTTTGTTTGTTTTTATCAAATTTAGGTGTTTAATTATTCTCTAAGTGTTTGTTTGTTGTTTGTATTAAATATAGGAAAGAATTCATTCATGTGGATTGGACCATATCCAAGAGTGCACATCATGGACCCTGATCAACTCAAAGCTGCATTCTCTTTAATGCATGATGTTCAAAAACCGTCTATCAACCCTCTTTCAAGGTTGCTTTTCGATGGACTCACTGATCATGAAGGACCCAAATGGGTTAAGCATAGAAAGATAATCAATCCAGCCTTTCATTTCAAACAATTGAAGGTATGCTTTCTTCTTGTAATAAGAGTCCTCGCTAGCACTCGTTCATCTCTTTAATTAATGTGAGATCTCACAATTCACTCCCTTTGAGGTCCAACGTTCTCGCTGGCACTCGTTCCTCTCTCTAATCGATGTGAGTTCTCACAATTCACTCCCTTCAAAGACAGCATCCTTGTTGGTACAATGGCCGATGTTTGGCTCTAATACTATCTGTAATAACCCAAATTCCCACTAGCATATATTGTTTTTTTTTTGGGGGGGGCTTGTCCTTTCGGGTTTTCCCTCCAGATTTTTAAAACGCATCTGTTAGGGAGAGGTTTCTATACCCTTGTAAACACGTTTGCTTGTGAGATCTCACATCGGTTGAGGAGGAGAACGATATCTACTAGCAGACGCGTTATAGAAACTTTGAAGGGAAACTCGAAAGTAAAAGCGGAAAAAGGACAATATCTGGTAGCGGTGGAGTTTGGCTATAATGAGATGATACATGACTATCCAACTAACCATGTTAGATTGGTTTAAAAGTAGATTTAGAAGTTAGGCGCAATTTCAAAAACTTCTATATTGTACTTTGAGCAACAATATTTTTGGGAGTCTAATTGTTCATATATATGGTTAAATTGCTATATACAGGACATGGTGCCTGCAATGTGTGAGAGTTGCACTGAGATGATTAGGAAATGGGAAGAAGTGGTCTCAAAAGATGAATATTATGAATTGGATGTGATGCCTCATTTGGGAAACTTGGCCGCTGATGTGATTTCTCGAACAGCATTTGGAAGCAGCTATGAAGAAGGAAAAATGATCTTTATACGTCTAAAACAACTTATCAATCTAGTCGTTAAAGCTACATCTACGGTTTACATACCCGGATGGAGGTGAAGTCATGCACAATTCAATTCAATTTAGACATGAATACGAGTCTTTTTTAGGTTTTTTCTTTCGGACGTCTGCTCGAGGGTTTTAAAATTAGGAACAGAGTTCCACACTCTTATAAAGAATTCTTCGTTCCCCTCTCCAATCGATGTGGGATCTCACAATCCACCCATTCCTCGCTCCAATCGACGTGGGATCTCACAATCCACTCCTTTCGAGAACCAGCATCCTTGTTGGCACTTGTTACTTTCTCCAACCGATGTGGAATCTAATAATTCACCTCTTTCGGGGCTCAGCATCCTCGTTGGCACTCATTCCTCTCTTCAATTGATGTGGGATCTCACAATACACCACCTTCAGAGTCCAGCATTCTCGTTGGCATACCACCCGGTGTCCACCCTTCTTCAAGGCCCAACATCCTCGTTGGCACACCGCCCGATGTCCACACTTCTTCAGGGTCCAACATACTTGCTGGCACTCGTTCCTCTTTTCAACCAATGTGGAATCTAATAATCCACCCTCTTGGGGCCGAGCATCTTCGCTAACACTCGTTCCTCTCTCCAATCAATGTGAGATCTCACAATCCACTCTCTTCAGGGCCTAGCATCCGTTGGCACACCGCCCGGTGTCTACCCTTCTTCGAGGCTCATCATCTTCATTGGCACACCGCCTAGTGTCTGGCTTAGATACCATTTTTAACCGCTCAAGCCCACCATTAGCCAATATTTTCCTCTTTAAGCTTTTCCTTTTAGGTTTCCCCTCAAAAATTTTAAAACGCGTCGGCTAGTAAGAGGTTTTCAACACTTATAAAAATAAATGTTTCGTTTTCCTCTCCAACCAATCTAGGATCTAACAATCCACGCCCTTTGGAGCCCGCGTCCTCGCTGGTTCTCATTTCTATCTCCTAAGTACGCTGATTCTCATTTCTCTCTCCAATATATATAGCATCTTATTTAGGAAATTTCATATAACATCTCATTATAATGTTTGTGCAGGTTTGTACCAACCAAGTCGAACAATATAATGAAAAAGATAAGCAAAGAATTAAAAACGTTGCTCATGGATGTTATCAACAAAAGGCAAAGGGCTATGATGGCAGGTGAAGCTATGCATAATGATCTATTAAGCATCCTCTTACAATCAAATTTGAAAGAAATTCTAGAGCATGGAAACAACGATGTCGGAATGAGTATCGAAGACATAGTAGACGAGTGTAGAGTTTTTTACCTTGCTGGCCAAGAAACCACAGCAATGCTACTAGTTTGGACAATGGTTTTATTGAGCTCATACACAAGATGGCAAGATCTAGCAAGAGAAGAGGTCCTACAAGTGTTTGGTAACAACAAACCAGATTTTGATGGTTTAAATCGCCTAAAAATTGTGAGGAACACTCTCTTCCATGTACTTTCATTTTTATTTTATTTTATTCGTTAAACTTTATCATATTCTCAACATTTAGGTTACTATGATATTGAATGAAGTCTTGAGATTATACCCACCACCAGCCTTGATTTCTCGTCTAGTTCAAAACGAAATAAAGCTTGGAAAATTGAGTTTTCCAGCGGGAGTGATGCTGAGTTTTCCAATTATTCTTATCCATCGTGATAAGAATCTATGGGGTGATGATGCAAATGAGTTTAATCCCGATAGATTTGCTGAGGGAGTTTCAAAAGCGACACAAAATCAAGCTGGGTTCTTCCCGTTTGGATGGGGTCCTCGCATATGCATCGGACAGAACTTTGCCATAATTGAGGCCAAAATTGCTCTATCCATGATTCTACAACACTTTTCTTTTGAGCTTTCTTCGTCTTATAAGCATGCTCCAACATCCAATTTAACTACTAGACCTCAACATGGAGCTCATATCATGCTACTTAAACTTTAGTCATGTAAACAATGTTGAATGTTGGGATATGAAGTCTGATGACTATTTATAGTAAAGATCTGGTGAGATATACGTTATATATTTTGTAAAGATCTCATATATATATATATATATGGTAGATATTTCATATCGGGTAGAGATATATATGGCAGATATTTCATATCGAGTAGAGATATATATGATAGATATTTTATATCGAGCAGAGATATATATGGTGTATATATATATATATATATATCCTATTAGGCAGGGCTTCTAAAATGTATTTTCTTCCTTCTCTGTAGTATTCGGTGTACAATAAAACATTTAGCCAATATTCCTCCTTAAATTTTTTCTCTCTTGTATTTTGTGTTCATCTTGATGAGTGTGTGCATTGTTGTGTGATCCGAACAACTGGTACTAGAGCTAGGCGAGATTCACCATGATTAGAGAAGTGGAGAGTTCAAAGATTGGAATTGAGAAGTTTGATGCGATTTCGGTTTCTGGAAGATGTAGATTTAAGATTGATTATACCAGAAAGATCTTTATGAACCCTCTGTTGGGGTGAAACTGGATACTATGACCACAGAGCAGTAGAAGCTTAAGGATCGTTAGGCCTTAGGGTTGATCCGATTGACGCTGTCTAGAAACATGTCATTTCAAGGAGAAAACAACATCAGATTTGTTGAAGGCACTGTCGAGCATGTACGAAAACCCATCGACTATGAACAAGGTGTATTTGATGTGGAGACAGTTCAATTTACAAATGTTTGAAGGTGGATCTATTATTGATCATATAAACGAATTCAATATGATTGTAAGTCAACTGAGTTCGATGGAAATTAATTTTGAATATGAAATGAAGACACTGATTTTGATGTCATCATTACCAGAGCCGTAGAATAATGTTGTTGTCGTTGATCAACAGCTCTCGAGGATTTGAGAAACTAAAGTTTGATGAAATCCGAGATGTAGTTCTCAGCGAAAGTATTTGCAAATGAGAAATTGAAGATTCATCCAGCAGTGTGGTTGGTACTGACCATAGTGGAAGAAGTAAATCGAATGGCTCAAACATAGGTCAATCAAAATCAAAGAACCGTGAAAATTTTCCAAACAGACCAAACGTGACGTGTTGGAGTTACGGAGAAAAATGTCACTTTTGGATAGATTGTACAAAACCAAGGAGGGAGCAGAATCACAAATCAAAAGAGGATGATTCTATAAATTCAGCATAAGATATTGGAGATGCTCTAGTTCTTAGCATGGACACTCAGATTGAATCTTGGGTTTTGGATTCAGTTACATCTTTTCATTCGTCTCCAAATAAAGAACTATTTCAGAATTTCAAGTTTGGAAATTTCATGAAGGTATATCTGGCCGACAACAAAGATTTGAAGATTGAAAGAGAAGGGGATGTATGCATAAATTGATGGTGTTATTATAACACGCAATTTGAATCTTAGGCACTCTAATCACATCAATTATAGTAAATTAGCTAGCATGTTCAAAAGCATTAAAACTCAATGAGTTTGAATACTAACTTTTTGTAGTTCACATTCCTTTTTCCTCACGGACCAGTTTTGAACCACCACTAGTGTCTTCCCCACTATTCTCCGACCTTAGAACGAGATTGTGGAATTTGGTGAGTGACTAAACATTGATAGGAATTTAGTATATGTAAAGAGAGTTTTGAGAGATTTTCTCAAAGTTTTTTAAGAAGAATTTCCAAGTAACTTGATCGCTCTATTTATAGAGTTATATTTGCATGTTCATGCAAATTTGAGATTACCAAATTTTGACACTCAAAAATCCACTCAAATTTGTCAAATTTGTGGGATTATGTGGCAAACATGCAAGTCTAGTTAAACCATATATTGACACTCAATATTCCACTCACTCAAACATGGATTTTTCATTAAATGAAGTCAACATTTTGACTTTTTTTTATTTTAATTCAACAATTAATTTAAATAATTAATTTCAAATCAAAATAATATTAAAGGATTAATTAAATAATTTAATTAATATTTAACATTAAATCAAATCTCAATCCCAATCCATTGTCGCACATGGATTATGAATCCTTATTCATAATTAAAATATTTAAATCTTATTTAAATATCTTCAATTCTCTCTTTTTGTTTAATTCATAATTAAAACAATTTTAAATATATAGTATATATTTAGCATATATTCCCTAATTTAATTAGAACACTTCAAACTCACTTGTTCGAACTCACTTGTCATACTGTTCTAAGGTTTAGTCCGATATGAGCTAGTAGGGGGACCTAATGGACCTACAGATCATGGGCTCCAACAATTCAAGATTAACCGGCTAAACTCAATAACCTTGTTAACCAACATTCGTGAACTACTAGGACACTCCACTATAGCCTAGTAGTTGCACTCCCCTCACTATAGATATATTTTTGTCCGTTTGCTATAACCATGATTAGTAAGTCGATCCTTCATAGGTTGTTCGTAACTAGAGCTGGGTCAATTTGCTGTTTTACCCCTAAAGTTACTTCTTGTTCCTTAAGATCCATTGATCCTCTAATGAACAATTGGTTTGTGGTCCAACCACCAAACCAAATCCCTCTCGGGCCAATGAGAGGGTGGGGTCCCTTGTTCAAGACTTGGAGTCAGTACATAAGGGAACAATCTCTCTTCTATCCCTAAAAGTGGGTAGGAGTGAATTCCATCTTGCACCCCACGTCCCCAACCATTTACCCAGTCTTATCCCTGAAATCGGAGGCCTATTGAGTCGGCGAACTTGAGTCAGTCTCACCCATGCAAATCTAAGGATAATTCCGAATAAACAGGAGTTCATGGTTAGCTCAGGATTAAGATCGAGTTACCTAGGTCATCGAATGAAAAGAAAATCAGTCTCAACAGTAAACGACATTATAAAGTGAGAGTGATTTTCTTCATGGTCCGATCTTATGCAATACTCATTGCATAGGACGCTCTCACTCACATGTCTCCACATGTACAATTTTAGTGATCACATTGTTTATATCATATACAAAAGTGGGCCGCATGCATAGTGTCCCCAGAATAAGGTACTTAGCCTTATCCCTGCACTATAGATCATTTTGACTATATATTTGAACTTGATCCACTCTTATGTCTCTACATATAGTTCAAGTAATCATATTATAGCTAGAGTGTTCTTAGTGTATTGAATTTAGATTAATGATCGTAAAATTCACTTTATTCAATAACAATATTTACTGAATAAACATGAATAATAACTTTATTGAAAACAGAATATGTTTTTGTTTACAAACTATGAGTTTTAGGACATAAAACCCAACAAAAACTCGAGCAGGGATGTCAGATTACATTCCTGGTCTCAAGAAGATAATAGGGAGATAATATTCATCCATCACCCGGAGCACAGATCTCCTCATAGAGGCATCTTTGTAATTTCTTACATCATTCATTCCACACTTATCCATATTACCCTGCTCATATTTTAGTCATGCATATTTTCTTTCCAGCCTTGCATAATACATAAATAACATGGTCCTCGAAAATCTCAACATAGGGGCATGAGAGTAATTTTACCATAACGTACATTCAATACATACTCATAAAAAAATGCATTTATGAAGTCCTTAACATGCATTATCTAAACACCTAAGGTATGTAATGTTTGTATGCTAGCATGTCCTAGCGACCCTACAAGTATTACTTGTCTAAAATTCAAGTGGTTACTTACATAGATGATGTGTACCTTTCCGAGCTAACTTTACCGCGTGTTACGAGCTCCAGACTTCTTGAAATTTCTCTGGTATGTACTAATTCAAGAAAAATTAAGGTTAGTATAGAAATCATGACAAAAAACTAAAAAACGAAGGCCAAACAGGGAACTTTAGGGCCCTCGTGCACGCTGCACGCATCAGCCATATGCACTTAGGGGTTCTCACACCAGCATCATATGTGGAGAGTTCGCATAATCGCAGGTCTTTTGCGGCCGGGTTAGGCGCGCTTCGTGTTTAGCCTCTAGATTTTTGGTCGCGTGTGGTCCCTCAGATCATGTTTGGGTCGACTTGGTCTGATCTTTTACACTTCGATTCTCATACTGGGACTAAAAAGACAAGACGAAAGCAATTAAAAGAAAGAAAAAATTGAAATAAAACAGTATAAAAACAATGAAAATTCCATATAATTTTGCACAAATCAAAAACATACACAATGTTGTCAAAATCCAAAACAATAAAAACAAGTGTTAGTTCAAGTTATTTACAAATAGAGAACCGAACCGCATATAAAAATGTACAAATGTCAACTCAAGAAAATATATACTACACTGACGTCCTGGGTCGACACCTCTTTATGCAAGGTAGTTTTCAAGTATTCTCCCACCTCGACCAGTACTTGGAATGGAAAAGGGGTGAGTATAGAAGTACTCAATAAAGTGCCTACTTGTAGGCCTTCCTCGCATTCATTTCCTAATAGATTTCTATGGGCAACTCTAGGCACAAGAAAGTTTAGCTTATTCCTACAACTATGTGAGCTTATGTGTAGGTATTGAAGTTCTTGAAACAACCATCTTCAGTCAACTACTTAAGTAGTCTTATTTCTACACATAATAGAAGTACTAACCCTAAATTCTACCCGTCTCTCTTCAAGAATGCATTACAGAATCGCGACGTTAGCCTTGATCCATTTCTATACATCATAGAAACATTAATCTTAAAGTAACTACCTATGTAGTCCCAAATCATTCTTTAGGACTAGCTTATAGAATTGTGGTGTCAACTTTTGATTCGTCCCCTCACACACAATAGTAACTCAAATTACCTTAGAGGATCTAGTTACACATTTCTTACTACTAATAAGCCTATTAGGAGTTTTAAGTCATCCTCGTCGTTGAGGTCTACTAGGTTCTTTAGGCATTTAGGGAGTCTAAATCTCGTCTCTCATTTCCAAGATGTTGGAGACTAACACCTCAAGGCTAACCCAACCTCTGCTACTCTCATATCTATACCTCTAATCGCTGCTCATGATTTTATGGTGCTCAGTCTACTGGAAGTGTATTGGTCTAGGTCAACTCGAAGACTACTCCAGCTCTAGCACCCTTAAATTTAACTCGAAAAACTATTCAAAATATTCATGCATGCTTATTTGAGAGATATTCATATGAATCACCTAAGCACAAAATTCAAACCAAGCAACATTCAATTAAGTTTAACGGGAAGATAACATCCATCAATCACTCGGAACACAAATCATAATATTTCATTCTCCTTTCTAACACATGAAAAAGTATTAAAAATAGGCATGCAACTTAAATTCCCATCCTAAACATGCGTGCCTATCGCACCAAATCATCGGTTTCTAGCTTAGCCGATGTGGGACTTTCATCATCCAACGCCTCCCCTCGAACAAAGCACGCCTCCCCTTAATCTGGGACTTTCATCATCCAACGCCTCCCCTCGAACAAAGCACGCCTCCCCTTAATCGAGGCTCGACTCCTTTTTTCTTTTTGGAGTCCTTTGTTCGACATTCGAGGATTTGCCAATCTATTGGCACGGATAAGTTTAGGGCATAGCCCTGATACCATGTTAGACGAACACGACTCTCCACAATGGTATGATATTGTCCACTTTGAGCATAAGCTCTCATGGCTTTGCTTTGGGCTTCCCAAAAGGCCTCATACCAATGGAGTTAGTATTCCTCACTTATAAGCCCATGATCATTCCCTAAATTAGCCGATGTGGGACTTTCATCATCCAACATTGGACAATCCCCCAAATCATTGGTTTCTAGCTCGAATCTCCTCTCAGTTTCTTCACAAAAGTTGTCAGAATCTCACCTAGATCGACATATCAAAAACTCATGAATCTATGGAAAAAAATGAGATTAAAGACTCGTACATCTTACCTTATAAAACGCCTTGATTCTTGATGGAAAAGGTTAAATCAAATTCCGGAGCCGCTTAGACTAGTAGGTAGCAGATTTAGCTGCAACAAAGAGTTCAAGTACATCAAAACAGATAAGGAGACATTCAATGCATGGATTAATTCAAGTACAAAACAGATAAGGAGACCTTCAATGCATGGATTAAAGTAAGATTTAGAATTCAGACTTGAATTATTGTTCTAGTGATCTATTATTTTATTTATTTTTTATTTATTTTTTTTTTTTTTTGTACGTAAGACCATTCAAATGTGAAAGTTATGCAGAATTTGTATTACTGTGACCTGAGCATTGTGTTTGGCAAAGATCGTGCCACAAGATTTCGTGCAAAAACCTTACATATTAATTGAAAATATAATTCAAAACTACAGATTAAATAACTCGAACACCACAAACACATATCGATTAAATTCGGACTCGCACCAAAAGGAAATCCGATTTCGGCAAGACTTTGATCGAGATGAACAAGGAACCCACAAAATATATTAAAAAACATGCATGAGTGGATGGTTCACCATTTAGAGCCACAAAAGCACTTGCAAAATATAGTAACCACTCTATAATCCACCACGTTGCACTCTCTATTCCACGTGTCATTCACTGAAAGCCCTTCATCCACCTTTTTCTATAAACCGCCCTATAAATAACCTTCCAATTTTTAGTGTTTTCTGGGAGCATCAAAATGAGCCAACAACAGCCAAGAAGACCCGCCAGTGATCACCCGGAGCCGATCAAGTACGGCGACGTTTTTCCTGTTCACGGTGACCTTGCTCAGAAGCCGATCACGCCCGAGGATGCTGCGGCCCTGCAGGCCACTGATACCGCCCTCCTCGGCAAGACCGTCAAGGGCGGTGCTGCTGCGCTGATTCAATCTGCTGCTGCCAAAAATGAGATGGCTGGCCTTTTGGATCACGGCGGTGGCGATGGTGGTAATGGGTTGATGCCGACGAGGTAAGCATTACCCAGAGGGAGATGCCCGGGAGGAAGGTTATTACAGAGTCAGTTGGTGGACAGGTTATTATTTATTATTATTGAAACTTTTATACAAGTGTACATTGATTCCGACAATCTGTAACTACTCAATTTGAGTTAAAAATCGAATTGACTCTGTTCGTGACTCGGTTTGGTTTCAGGTTGGGTTGGGTTAATTATCCTGAAACCGAATTGACTCGGTTCGGTTCCAGGTTGGGTTCGGTTGGGGTTAATTTTTCTGAAACCGAATTGACTCGGTTCAGTTTCAAGTTGGGTTCGGGTGGGGTTAATTTTTCTGAAACCGAATAGACTTGATTCAATTCCAAGTTGGGTTCGGGTGGGGTTAATTTTTCTAATTTTTCTGAAACCGAATTGACTCAGTTTGGTTCCAGGTTGGGTTGGCATAATTTTTTTGAAATCGAATGGACTTGGTTTGGTTGGGTTTGAGTTAGTTTCATTTTTTCTGAAACTAAATTAACTCATTTAGTTTTGAGTTGGGTTAATTTTTCTGAAACCGAATTCACTTGGTTTGGTGACTTGATTCATTTTCTGGTGAGGTAGGTGACTTGATTCATTTTCTGGTGAGGTAGGCTTAAGTTATTTTTTTTTGAAATTGAATTGACTCGGTTCGAGTTCGGGTTCAGTTTCAGGTTGAGTTGGGTTAATTTTTCTGAAACTCAATTTACTCGGTTCAGTTTCAAGTTGGTTTGGGTTAATTTTTCGAAAACCGATTTGGGTTCGGGTTAATTTTTGAGAAACCTAAGAAACCAAATTTACTTGGTGTTGAGTTCAGAGGTCAAAATTCTATGAATCCAAATCCAACAAAAACTTGTATTTAAGTTTAGCATTTGGATTCCCCTAAGATTCCCCCAAATTAAATGGGATAAAATTCATTTTTGTCAATTTAATATCATTTAATTTTGACAATAAATAAAAGGTTGTGACGCAACACAGCGAGAGGGTTCCTATAGCGCCATTATCGACCATGAATCCACGGGAAGACGTTGGAGGAGGAGGAATCACGATCGGTGAAGCATTGGAAGCAACCGCTATAGCGGTGGGGCAGAAGCCAGTGGAATGGAGTGATGCTGCCGCAATCCAGGCGGCGGAGGCCAGGGCAACTGGCCAGATGAATATAGCTCCGGGAAGTGTCGCCGCCATCGCCCAATCAGCGCCACCACGAACGCTCGATTAACCCGAGATGAGGACAAGACTAAATGAAGGTAACTTAGCATTTCAAATTACTTTTCTCTTTGATATTGTCCACTTTAAGATAAACTAAGCTAAAAGCTTAAAAAGCTTAAGATCATTTTCTAAATTAGTTAAAGTTGGGAGTTAGGATGCTCGATAGAAGTTGCCAGTGGATAACCGGTTACGCCGCAAGATGCGGAGAAGGTGGCCGGAGCTGAGATGCGAAATGACCCGCTTCTCACGACACATCCTACGGGTGTTGCCGCCGCAAGATGCGGAGAAGGTGGCCGGAGCTGAGATGCGAAATGACCCGCTTCTCACGACACATCCTACGGGTGTTGCCGCCTCCATGGCGGCCGCCGCTAGGCTGAACGAGACCAACAACTAGGACCAAAAATAGAGTTGGTTTATGTGTATGTAATAAAAACATGTTTTGTTTTGTTTTCCTTCCAAACAGTGAATTGGAGTTTTGTGGTGTTTTAAGAAATTTGAAGCTTTAATTTCTTCTTTGTGTAATTATAATCACAGCCTCTCAATAGGCTAAATTAATAACTTGAAAAGTATCCAAATTTAACCTTAGAACTTTTTCTCTTTATACGATGATGGTTAGCCTGGACATCATCATTTGAGACGGGACATCATCATTCGAGACAGAGGTTAATTTGTGAACTCTCTCATAAGATTATATAGTCACCCAAGTCGGGAGAGGAGTGACCTCTGAATGCTTGCCATACTATGTTTACTGTGTGGTTTCACGCCACACTTTCCCCTTCTTACGCGCTACACTATCTGGCCTACGCCAAGCACGACAGTACCTATACTACTACCGCTTGGTAGGACGTTGCTAGCGCTAAAGGCATATCGAAGGAGATAGGAGTTAAAGATTCTAGTAACACCATCATATTGTTAACTACCGGGTGAGCTATTTTAGTCGTACTATGATGTCATGGAGGTCTACTATGTTCTTAATGACGTCTAGGCAATTTAAATCTCATCTCGTGTTTTCAAGATGCACGAGGTTAGCTCTGTGAGGCTAATCCAATCTCTAGGTGCAACAAGTCTAGATCTGTGATCGCCGTTCATGATCCTTGGGTACACGGTCTACTGGAAACGTGCTGACCTAAGTTAACATGTAAGTCACTCCAACTATAGTTCCCTAATTTTAATTTGGTTCACCCATGCATGCTTGTTAGGGAGATATTCCTATGGTCATCTAAAACACAAAACATATAATCAAATATCAACTTGGTCCTAGTATGGTCATCTAAAACACAAAACATATAATCAAATATCAACTTGGTCCTAGTATGGTCATCTAAAACACAAAAAAATATAATCAAATATCAACTTGGTCCTAGGGCAACTTGGTGGCTTTATGTAGACTTTTGGCTTCCCTAAACTTGTTTGACTCATCGAATCTTTCTTAGTCTAGAAACACTATGGTCTAAACCCTCTAACCGTTGTTCACGATCTTAAGATGCTTTTTCTATTGGAGGCGTCCTGATCTAGGTCATCATTTAGTTGTCAAATGAATTTTCATCATCTCAATAGCTTCCCGATAAAATCGTAACTAAGGGAATCATTTTATTGTGCAAATGTTTCACGTTGTGAGCCAATATCCTAGTAAGCCTCTCTTCATAAGATAGGTCCTCCGGGGTGCCTTATGTTCTACAACGTGCGTAGGACCTGAGATGTACTCCCGCAGCATTGAGACGTGGATGACGTTATGCATGGCTGCAAGGATGGGTGACAACGCTAGTCTATATGCCACAGGCTCTATCCTCTCTAGGATCTGAAAGGACCTATGACTCTCGGTCTCAACTAGCCCTTCTTTCCAAACCTCAATACCCCTCTCTTAATGGACGATATGATCACTCACGGTAAACTCGAGGTCTTACCTACGAGAGTGCATAGCTATTATGTCGGCTCTGTGCCGTTAATATTTTTCACCTCATCTTCTGCA